TTCCCTCCTAGATACTCCAAATCTTTCTCTGCCCTGCCAGCACTGACCGTGTCATCATTTCACTGTCCACTTACATCTCTTAGTGGTTCTCCACATCTTTAAGCATAGGCACAAGCTCTAGCCTGGTCCCCAGACAATTTATAAGTAGCCCTGCCTACACATCTGGCCCCCTCTCACGGCACTTATGTGGAGGTGCATCCTAAAGACAGAAGTTACAGAGCTGCTCTCTTTTTTTTTAAACACTTGGTGCACCAGCCGCTAGATGCCAAATCATTTTACATTCACATCAGTTAACTCCAGAGGCTGCTTATTACTTTTTTTTTTTTAAACATTTGGGTAACTAATTTATGTAAGGTTATACAGGTAGCTATACAGCAGTAGTAGAAACCTGAATCCGAGTCTGACAGAAGAGCCCATGGTTTTCTTTTTAAGAGGTTTTCGCCATAGGGTGCATGCGCTCAAGGCTGCTTGTTTTTATAAATCACAGTTCCTCTTTCTTTTGAGCCAAAGTGAGAAAGATTAACATGGACAAATTATGTGGTAAACTCACTTGGCCGAAGTTTACTGAGCACGATTTTTCTAAGCATCTGCCACTTTCCAGAAGGAGAAAGGTTATCCACCTCTTCCTCTAGAAGTGGAGGAAGGTGATGTGGCAAAATATTAAACGGACATCACCTTATGGTGGAGGTGGTGTGGCAAAAGATTAAATAGCAGCCCTCAGGTGTGGGAGGCTGCGCACCAGCGAGTCTGCCGAGGTTTCTCAGAGAGCAAACAATTACCGTGATTGGTTCCCTTCCAAAAACCTGACCTTCGAAACCTTGCTCTGATTGACCACTAGAATCCCTCAAATTTGCATATCCAGCACCTCATGATTGGTCCAAAAGCAACCAATCACAGCCCACCGTTTACAACCAATCAGAGTGTATATAACCACGATGCCTGGCCCACAGTAGCCAGACGACAACGACGACCAGGAAGACAACAACTGATGAGCCTGAAGAGCTGAAACACTGTGCAGTCTCCAGACGACCCTGAAGATCCTGAAGAGCTGACACTGCATTGTCTCCAGATGACCTGGGAGACCCTGAAGAGCTGTAACACTACATCGTCTCCGGACGACCCTGAAGAGTTGTGACACCACATCGTCTCCGTGCTGCTCACAGTGGACGATGCGACCCTTAAGAGCTGTGACACTGCGTCGTCTCTGTGCTGTTCACAGTAGACAACGCGACCCTTAAGAGCTGTGACACTGTGTCGTCTCTGTGCTGTACCGTGCTGCCCACAATAAACAGACGACACTGTCTTCTCCGTGCTGTAACACTACGCCGCTTGTCCCGGCTCTCACTCCTTCACTCAGGAAACCTGTTCGGCTGTCCCCCCGGGTCGGGACACTCAGGTTTTACTTTTTAAGGAAGAAAGATGGGTAGACCTTGTAGATTCTTACTCCTCTCTGATGTCAAGTGCCCTCAAAGTATCACCATAAAGTCATCTGATTCCGAGGCCCAACTTGGGATTAGCCACTCTGAAGGCTGGCATGCAGGAGCCATTCACTTACTGGGCCGTCAGAAAAGTCACGACTTTTTTTTTTTTTTTTGAGAGGGTTTTGCTATGGGGCAGGTGCACTTGACAGACAGAAGAGAGAGACAGAGAGACAGAAAGTGAGAAATCACTCCTCAAGGAAGATGGCCACGCCACAATCCCCTCTCCTCCATTCTCCTCTCAGGATCTTGGGCACACATACACACATGCCCAACATGAGTTTAAGCCACCAGGTTCGGGACTTGAACTGCAGTCGACTACATGGGAGTCCAATGACATAGCCATTATGCTAGCTGCTGGTCTCATGATGTATTTTTCTATGCAAAAATGTGTTATGGCATTTCCAATAACCCGATAGCTAGTGAATGAGCCTGGTCAAATACAAAACAATCACATCCTAGAAAAACTTTAAAAAGAGTCTAAAAGAATTAGTTTTAATTTACATTTTAAAACCATACAGGAGAGGGACCAGCCATGGTGTAATGGCTATGTCGTTGGACTCCCATGTAGTCGACTGCGGTTTGAGTCCTGGACCTGGTAGCTTAAACTCACGATGGGTGCATGTGCGTGCGTGCCCAAGATTCCAAGAGGAGAATGGAGGAGAAGCGATTGTGGCATGCCATCCTCCCTGGAGGGGTGATTTCTCGCTTTGTCTCTCTGTCTCTTTCTGGTGAGTGCACATGCCCTACAGCAAAAACTTTGCCAAAAAAACCTAAACCATACAGGAGAAATCATTTGCTATAGTGGAACTTCCTAAATTTGTGTACTAATATCCTAGTGGCTGGCAAGGGCCTACAAGCCACTAAATCAGGCAACGAGATCCAAATCAGGTACAAGTGAGAAGGAGCCAGAAGTTATCTCTGACCCTCAGGGAAGGAGGAGGATGGCACATCTGTATTTTGTTCTGTAGTGTGGTAAGACCTTAAGATGGCAAATCTGGGCCAGTCGGGGGTATGGTGGTTAAGGCTAGATCCTACACGGCCAACTGTGCAGCTTAAGTCCTGGACCCACTAGCTTTAAAAAAAAAGGGATGAACAGATGGCATAATGGTTACATTACTGGACTCCCATGCAGTTCAAGTTCTGAACCTGGTGGTTTAAACCTCATGCTCAGGGTGTGTGCATATGTGCTCAAGATCTCAAGAGGAAAATGAAAGAGAAGGGACTGCAGTGCAGCTAACCCTCAGGGGGTGATTACCTGCGTTCTGTCTGTCTCTCTCTGTGTTGGTGTCTTCAGTGAGTGCACACACCTTATAGCAAAAAAACAAACAAAAACAAAAACAAAAAACCTCTCTCTCTCAAAAAAAAAATAAATAAAAAGAAAAAGAAAAGAAAAACACACCAGGCATGTATATGTGTGCCCAAAATCCAAAGGATGAGGAAGGGCCTGTGGTGTGGCCATCTTTCCTGGTGAGTGCTTCCTCACTTTCCTTTCTTTGTCTCTCTCTCTCTCTGGTGTGCGCACATGTTCTCTAGCAAAAAAAAAAAAAAAGAAGACAAATATGGGACTGAGGGTCCTTCAGATGAATAGATTGGCGAGAACAAAGATCCAAACAGGAAGCACAACTGGGTGACTTCTAGAAAACCAGCATGGCAGAGACCAGCAGATGGTGTAATGACTACATTGCTGGACTCCCACATAATCAACCGTGGTTCAAGTCCCAACCTGGCTAATTAAAACTCACGCCAGGTGTGTGTGCGTGCGTACCCAAGATCTAGAGAGGAGAATGGAGGAGAAGGGACTATGAAATGGCCATCCCCCCTGGGGGGAGGATGTGATTTCTCATTTTCTCTGTCTCTCCAGTAAGCGCACACACCCTATAGTAAAAAATCTCTCTTAAATAAAAAGGAAATAATTTTCAAGCCACAGTGACTGGAACTCAGCCATGTGGGAATCCAGTGCCTTAACCACCATACCACCTGCTGGCCCCAAAATGCAAAGAACCTTAATAGCAATAATTCTAGTTACAATAATACAATACTGCCGAGTTGATTTTATTCTAGATAGGACATCTTGGCTTAACATTCCAAGATAAACCAATGGAACAGAGATACATATCAATAAAATCAAGATAAAAATTATATAATTATACCTCTCCAAAGATGCAGGAAAAAAAATTTGACATTCCAGACTTTTGTGGAGAGGCTTCTTAGACTGCCTGGCTTTGGTGCCTGCAGCTCCCTCCACAGGTGGTGTGGTAGTTAAGGCACCAAACTTCCGCATGTCTGACCACAGTTCAAGTCCCAGACCTGGTGGCTTGATTTCTCACTTTCTCGCTCTCTCTCCCTCCTCCTTCTAATACGTGTGCATATCCTATAGCAAATTAAAATAATGATGATGATGATGATGATAAATGAAATCAAAGAAAAAAAGGAGACTGCTGAGGTCTGAGTCCAAAAAGTGACATGCAAGGCAGTTGGAGATAGTCATACAGTATATAAGGCACTCTGCCTTATCAAACCATTCGTACATCTTGAAATTGCAATGATTCAGATTTTTTTTTCTTAGAGGTTTTTGCTATAGGGTGTGTGTGCTCGCCAGACAGAGAGAGACAGAGAGACAGAAAGCGAGAAATCACCCCCCAGAGGGGGGATGGCCACGCTGCAATCCCTTCTCTTCCATTCTCCTCTCGGGATCTTGGGCACGCATGCACGCCTGCAATGAGTTTTAAGCCACCGGGTCCAGGATGCAAACCGCAGTTGACTACATGGGAGTCCAGCGACATAGCCATTACGCTAACTGCTGGTCCCAATGATTCAGATTTGAAATGTATCTGAAGGAGTGTGCCAAGTTTTTAACACCTTCCAGAATACCAAATAAGGATAGGAAAGTTTTTACTTCGGCACAAGGACAAAGCTGAGCAGCCAGGGCAAGCCCACTCAGAAAGGTGTGGCCAGGCATGCCAGGGGCAGAAGAATGCCGGGGGTAGAAGTCATGAGTTGGGGGAAGACGGTGCAGTGGGTTCCCACGCCTGCCTTTTACCAGCCTTGGCTGCCAATGGCTCACCATCTTCTGCGGCTTCAAAACTCTGAGTCCAGTTATTCTACAGGGTGAAAATAATGAAGTACCAAGTATCTGTCCTTCAAAAATATTTGGGGTGGGGAGGCAATTAGGTAAAGAAGGGGAAGGGAACAGGGAAAGAAATGAAGTAGAACGCAAAACCACAGTACCTTTCCTTGGGAACCAGCAGTTAGTGTAATGGCTATGTCGCTGGACTCCCATAGAGTTGACCGCGGTTCGCGTCCCGGACCCGGTGGCTTAAAACTCACGCCGGGCGCGTGTGCGTGCGTGCCCAAGATCCCGAGAGGAGAATGGAGGAGAAGGGATTGCGACGTGACCATCCCCCCGGGGGGTGATTTCTCGCTTTCTGTCTCTGTCTCTGTCTGTCTGGCGAGCGCACGTGCCCTATAGCGAAAACCTCTCAAAACAAAACAAAACAAAACAAAACAAAACCACAGTACCTTTCCTGGCTGCAGCCTCTTTCCTCAGTTTCCTCAATTTCTCCAAAGCCCGAAGAATATCCACCATTCTTTTGGTATCTGCTTGTTTCTTTCTCACTTCAGCTAGTACACCATCAGCAGCAGCTTTGAGTTCCTGCTCCTGGAGGAGAAACAGAGCCCATGAGACCATTATTCGCAATCACCTTACAACCGACCAGCTGCCCTCTGGCAAGATTTCAGAGGACCAGACAGTCTAGGGTTAACAGGCTCTACTGAATCTACATCCCAACTTCCTGTTTTACATGTTTCCCTGCAGCCAACGGACTAGACCTTTCCACTGATGGTGCAATCCTCGTCCTCAGAGCTTCCACATGGGCACTAATCCTTCTTCCTTCCTCAGTGTTTTCTTAAAGTGTGATCTAGAAGCATGTGCATTCAACTTACCTTGTGAAGTTGGTGCTCTTGTTAAAAATGTAGACTCCTAGACCTAAAGATTCAGATTCCCAAAGAAGATAAGGAATGGGATTGGAAAAGCACAGAACTCTGCAAAGTCTGAATGATGACCCACACAGTTTGTGTTCCGCTGCTCTGAAGTCCTAAGAATCTCTTCCACATGACAGCCTTTCAAACATCTGATGACTACTATCCCAGCCTTCTCAAGGTGGTTCACCGGTAGACTAAATAACCCCAGTTCTTCAAGCTACTCCTCAGGGGAAGGACCTTCTTGCCTAAAGCTCTCTCCCCCATCTGTCAATGAAGTGTCTAGAATCCCACCATGATAGCCAACCGACACCATGCTATTTCACTCTTCTGCCTGGATTGATCTCTCCGCCTGGAACTGCACCTGTTGCTTTCACCTGGTCGACTTTTCTAGACTCAGCTCAGCTGTCATTGTGTCATCCAGGAAACCTTCCCCCAGTGGAACCAAAACCTTTTCTCTGGACTCTTATAGTACTAAGAGTTGAATCCTAACTCGTACCACGCTATAAATTGATACGAATCCCCGTGGGGGTCTAGGAACCTCGATGACAAGGGACATGTCCTATTTTCTCTATCCCCAGTATTCCACGCTGGGTCTGACATATTATGGTCCCTCATGGAATGTCTCCTGAACTGACTCAAACTCCCTCAGACCAAGGTGTTGCTTCTCCAGGTCATTTCCTTTATGCAATGCAATTCCTGAGGGTGCCATGAGGAAAGCCTGCCATTAATACACTTCAGTGAAATTAACTGACTAGGGAAGAAAAAGACACTTGATGACTGTGTAGAGTAGAGGGAGAGGGAAAAGGAACCTCAGCAGCACTCAAAGTTAATGACGATGCCTTAACTAATTGACCAACTTCCATTTTCACCATGTCCCTACTTAGAAGCTTGAGATCAGTAAGTTTTTGAACCAGAAAACATAGGCTCAAATCCAGAGTAAAGGTACCACAGAACCAGCTGCGTGACTGTGTGCAAGTTAACCTATGTCTCAATCTGCAAAATTGGGACAATATCTTTTATTTCTCTAGGAGTAATAGATTCAAGATCTGGTCTGACGCCTAAAAGATGTAAGAGGACTTCAAAAAGTTCTTGGGGAAAAAAAAATGGAATTAAAGTACAAGCTTATCTTGGTCCAAAAAAGTGGAAATCCATACAGTTAAGGATGTCCGTTTTCCATGAACTTTTTGAAGCCCTCTTGTACATACAATAGTAAGTATTCAAAATCACCACCGTTGAACCTGGGGATATCTGGTTTAAAACTTATCAATGAAGGAATCCTGGGGCAATTTCTGTTGTCCATCAGCCAATGAGGGTATATGGTCCTTGAGGTAGGGCCCCAGTTCTCCATATTTTGTGTTCATAATTACATCTGAGACAAGGTCTGGCTGTGGTGATCCTCCTGCCTCGGCCTTCCAGCTGGGATTTCAGGCACCACCACCGAGCTGGGCCTTTATGTTGAAGCCCTGGGAAACAGCTTCTTAATTCCTCGCCACCGCCTTGGGTTCCAACCACCACCTCCTACCCCGGCACACGCCCCTCTGCTCTCACCCGCTTTTTCTCCTCCACCTCCTGCACGCACTTGACCCTCCAGCGGTCGATCTCCTGCTCACGTTCTGCTGCCCGCGCGGCCTCGGCCTCCCGCTCGGCCTCGCGTTCCCGGGCCCTCTCGCGAAGCCGCAGCCGAC